GGGAGGGAGGGGAGGGAACACTGTTAGATAGATAGAGATAAGTATTGATTTGGATGAAGAGAAAGGCAATGTACCAAATGTGAGTGATCAATATGGTGGCACTGAGGAAAAGAAAGACATAGAGAGGGACATGGAAGGTACAAACAAAGATGAACCCTTTTGCACATACAGTACTGCATTGTCAGTAAAGGCAAACATGGGTATATGGATAGATAGATGGGTGGACAGGCTGAACTAGTAAGTATGTCTATGAAGCAGGGAGTGTACCCAAGAACATGTACAGGGTAGCTAGGCAAACAATGGTCCTATAAGTTTATGTGTATGATCTGAATTCTCAGGTGTATAATAGAGCTGACAAGGGGCAAGGTTGTAGTCACTGCTTGGTCACAGCCAGCTACTCAGAAGGACTGAGTAGTTGAACCTGTGGGCTCGAGACCATAGTCACAGGGGACATCAAGCTCAACTGGCATAATATACTACACAAAACATTGTTCTACCTCCTGCTTTGGCAAGTAGCGACTGGGATCTTAAAAGCTTGCAAGCTGCCATCTAGATGCAACGATGGGTCTCTCCTCGTCCAGAGCCAAGAAGAATGAAGAAAACCAAAAATTCATGGAAATACCCCTAGCGACTGGTACACCATCTGATCTGCAGCCTATACGACTATGATACCAGAAGAACTAGATGGTCCCCAGCTACCATTGTTGACCACTTGGAAGGGGATCTCTGCAGGAGATCCTGCATAGAGTCGGAGAATAATGTGGAACAACTCAAAATTATTTGGAGAAAAAAAAAGGGGGGGACCAGGTTTGCTGGTCCGATAGAGCCTGATGGAACCACTGCGACTATGGCCCCTAGCTACCCTTCAGGTCTGAAAGTGAATCCACACCTGTGGCTTCCAGAAAAACAAAAGACAGGCATATGAGTTCAACATTTACCTGAGGTAGATAAACTCCTTGGAAAGAACAATCATGGGAGAAAGAAGGGCTGTTTATGCACAGGAAGACAGCTCAGGGGGCACGAATGCATGGAAGGATGAACACAGGGAAGAGGCAACTATGGGGAGGAAGTGGAGGGGAGCTGTTGCATTGTGGTAAATTGTGGTCAATGTCATGAGACAAAGTACATGTGAACTGCTGTATGGGAAGTGAATTTGCTCTGCAAATTTTCACCAAAATCACAATTAAAAAAAAAAAAAAAGTCAAGGAAAGGTTTAGATAGGGAAGGAAATTTTCTTTGTTAGTTACTGGGCGGGGAGGGTGGGGGACGACGACACTGTTACATAGGTAGACAAAATTATTAAAAAAAAAAAAAAACTGTTGAATTGGTGTGTTTTCCTGTGTATATTCTCAACAACAAAATCAAATAAATTATTTGAAAGAAGAAAAGCTAAATTTCAGTTAAAGGTTAGTGAAAATACATAATTTTTTCCCATCCAAGCTTATAAAATCCTCTAACATCAAGTCGATTTCAACTCATAATGAAGTCGAGTAGAATCAAAATCAAGCCTGCATCCTCGGTTCAGGCATATAAGTAAACATGGTAACTCAGTTCCTTAAGAACTGACTAGCATGAAAGCTCAACTATCACCCCCACCCTGGTTAAGACAGATAGGTGACAAGATGCCTCATGAATCAAAGCTCAAAGCTCAGTCCCATATCCTTACCTTGGTGGGAGGGAGATAAGTAAACATAACTCAGTTCCTTATGAACTGAATAGAATAAAAGGTCAATTCACATATCCTCTCCATGTTTTCCCACTAGAAATGTGTTTCAGGAAACAACTTGAAAATTAACTCTGGCCCGCAGACATGCACAATGAAACAGACAGTTGCTGGGAATTGACATTCTCCCCTCTGCCTAAACCCCAATCAGCTGACAGAAAGCCGATGTTACTCATCTGGAATGCAAGCACACTGCATTAAAAATTGACTGTCCCTTTAAATAAAGGCGAAGGAAGCCTCAGCCAATCCACAGTTAATTCACACCCAAATTCCTGAAGTTTTTATGAATATGTATAATCCTCTGCTCCTGAAACTTACAAAACTGTATCCCGACCTTCTTCGGGGTGTCAGATTTGGGTACTGGTTCCTGTGTCTCCTTGCATTGCCGCTTTGCAATAAATAATTTTCTGTCCTCTTAATCACTCAGTGTGTAAACTGTCTTAGCCTGACTGCGCACCACGCAGGGACATTTGGTCCTACTTCAGCAGCAACCCTGATATAGTAGGAAGCACTGTTTCATCCCTCTCCTGTGGACTGGTAGGTTCAAACCTCTGACCTATCCTAATTTACAGACCTCTGAATTCATGGGCTCTCAGGACTAGAGGTGAAGAACCTTCAGTTAAAAGGATACACACCAGATATCTGACAGCATGTGCATGCAGAAGGAAGGAATGAAATGGTACAGGGCATAAAAGTGATCACCTGTATCTATTAGTATTTTCTTTCATTTAAAAACATCCAAAGAATATATAATATTAGTATCTGTTCATTCTGAGTGTCTGGTATAAACAGTTTTTAATTATTTCATTATTTAAAATGAAAGACTTTTACCCTTCAAAGGGGTAAGCACAAGTACAAAATTTGCTTGTACTGACCTGAACTATTCAGGTTCAAATATCAGAGTGTGATATAAATAGATACAAGCATAACTAAAATGTTTCAAAATTATTCAATCAAACAGTATTGAGGAAGTGAGGGGGTTAAGTTGTAGGGCTGAGAAAATAGTTCAAAAAGGCTTTTTTAAATATGTGTACTTGGCTATGCAAATCCTCACAACTGGATCAATAAACAGTATCACAATAAATGGAGAAAAGATTGAAGTTGTCAAGGATTTCTTAGTATTCAGATCCATAATCAACACCACTGGAAGCAGCAGTCAAGAAATCAAATGCAGTCAAGAAATCAGATGACATACTGCACTGGCTGATCTGCTGCAAAAAAACTCTTGAAAGTACTATAAAGCAAAGACTAAGGTGCACCTAACCCAAGCCATGGATGGTATTTTCAATCACCTCATATGCATGTGAAAGCTGGACAAAGAACAAGAAAGAGTGGAGAAGAGTTGATGCTTTTGAGTTGTGGTACTGGTGAAGAATACTGAAAGTACATGGACTGCCACAGGAACAAACAAATATGTCCTGGAATAAGAACAGCCAGAATGCTCCTTCGAAGCAAGAATGAGAAAACTTCATCTCACCTACCTGGTCATGTTGTCAGAAGAGACCATTCCGTGGAGAAGGATATAATGCTTGATAAAGTGGAGGGTCAGCTAAAAAGGGGAAGACCCTCAACAAGATGAATTAACACAGTGGCTGCTAAAGTATAGCAAGGACTGTGAGGATGGCACATCACCAGGCAATGTTTCATTCTGTTGTACTAAGGGTTGCTATGAGTCGGAACCAACTTGATGGCACCAAACGACGACGACCTGGCTGCTATCTCTAGTCACACGTTTATCAAAAATGACTGAAGTTACTTAAGTATTAAACAATGAACTGATATGATGTCTGAAAAATACTTTAAAATACTTCAAGAAGGGTCAGAGAAGGCAGACTATGCACATAGTAATTGTAGAAACTGGATAATATGAATATGAAGGATCATTAAGACATTCTCTTTGGTGTATGTTTCAATTTTCCCATAAAAGTTAAACATAAAATAAAATGACTAAAAATTCAAATTACTATTCTTTACTCTTATCACTAGTTTTCACCTCTATTTCCACCGTTTCCCACTACAAAGCTACTAGCTGTAGAATATTATCTTAATAGTTTTTGCAAAGTTTAAATACATTAAACATAGTGTTCATAAAATAAAAATTAGAAAAGCTTGTGAAAAGATAGCTTTCACTGCTTCTCACTAAATGTGTTTCAACACCTACCCACAAATTTCCAATTTTCAAAGAAATAAAATCAAACAAATTTAAGTATGGAAGAAAACCTTTTTTTTTTTAGTATCTTTAAATTTTTAATCTTCTTTTGATGATTCTGTAGGTTCCTCGGGATTCTAAAGTGCAATTACTATCATGAAACAATAATAAATGCAAAAAACGTGAAGATACAAAAATTTTCACTAACTCCAAGGAATATACTTAATCATTTCTCCTAATAATTTACTTATGTTTTCATGCAAAAATAAGAGAAAGAGAAGAAAGTCCAATTACTTGAATCTATCTGAATTCCTGAAAAACACCTATTTATAAGCAAATTATATTTCTCATGATCATAGCATTATCTCTTCACAAGATGTTTTCTTACCCAGCCCCCTGGCTGCAATATCAGTAGCAAAGAGTATTGCAGCTTTCTTGTGAACAAATTCATTATAAACTTCCATTCTTCTCATCTGCTGCTGTCGCCCATGGAGAGCAAGGATAGAAATCCCAGGACGTAGCCGGCAGAATGCTCGGTACAGATATTGAACCTACGCATTAGCAAAAAAAAAAAGTTTTGATATTTCTAGATGGCAGTATTAAAGTAAGCTTAAACATGAACAGCAAATAAAAATTAAGAAGCATAAATATGGAACAGAGAAAGGGAAATACAGTCTAGAGTTGTGGTTTTCAAATTTTCTTCTGCATATTTTCTACAAGAATTTTTGAAAATATGTTCCCCTTGCATTTTTAAGTTGATAACTGAAATTTATCCAAATTTAAGTGGCTGCAAAATAATGTCAATTTCTGGCATGTTGAAATACTGCTATTTTAGAATACTTACCTCTTATAAATGTATCCAATGGATTCTGAATACCAGAGAAATTTGAAACCTACTAGCACCATTTAAAAATTATTTGAAGAAACACATCTTTAACAGAAACAAATTTTACTTTCTTTTCCTTAAACTCATTTTTCTATTTCATGATCCCACAAATTTTTATTTTCTCACATTAAAAAAAAAAAAAAAAATTCACCTAAATACAGACAAGGGGGACTGGAAGGAACCTTAACTCTAAACAAAGTAATTGTGCCAAAAATCACTAAGCTACATGTAATAATCTTACTAGCTAATAACTCCATTAAGTCTCTTTTCAATTTTGTTCAAAGTAATGAATGAAAAGCAACTTAAATCACAAAATGACTTGCCATCCAATACTTAGAGGCATTCACTTTCTCAAAAGCAATACTTTGGTGCCAGAGAAGCTTTCTATCCTGAGACAATGTACCAATGAGATTAGGGATGCATGCATGGGCTTATGCTTCTTTCAAAAAGCTGGAGGAAGGACTACTGCAAAAGAGGTAAGAATGAAGAACCCACAGACCACAGATGCACTTTCAGACAAATCAATCTTAGAAAAAGTATATATGGAAACTGAATATAAACTGAATCCATGAGAACTTTTGATCTGCATCTCTTGAATCAAGACTGACTTTGAATTCCTGCTCTTTAACTAGCTGAGCTAAAAGAGGTGTATTAAAGAGTGAGGTCATGTATTAGAAACAAGGTCACGTAGGCTCAACGAAGGAGCTCTGGTAGCATAGTGCCTAAGGCATTTGACTGCTAACCAGAGGGCTGGCGGCTCAGACCCACAAGCCACTCCTCAAAAGCAAAGTTGGGCAATCTACTTCCGTAGTGATACTGCCTCGGAAACCCAAGGAGGGGTCGCTATGAGTCAGAGCCGACTCAACAGCAGTGTGTTGTGTTGTGTAGGCTCAACTAAGGAGTTTTAAAGTAACTCTAATTTATATGAAAAGTCACTGGAGAGTTTTAAGCAAGGAAGTAAAATACTTGTTTCCATTTTTCAAAGACCATTCTGGCCTTAATGTGGAAGAACTATAGGTAAGAAAGTGAAGAAATGAGACCAATTAGGTGGGCAAGAGAAAGGTAAGTGTGGCTCAGACTGCACTATAGGACAGAAAGAGTAGAGCTAAAAAGATCTACTGGTAGATTTGACACTGGATAAAGACAAGAATTGAGGATTCAGTCATTTATTAAGATGAAGAGTTAGAAGAACAGATTTAAGACTAGGAAATCTTAAACCGCATTTTCTATGTTAAATTTAAGATATCTTTTAGATCTTCAATTGGGAATATACAGTAGACAGGTGGATACACAAGTCTGAAGCTCAGTATTTGGAAGCTATCAGTATATTGATGGAGTTTAAAGTCATGTAACTGACGAGGTTACCTAAAGAGTTACCACAGATGGGAAAAAGAGTATAGCATTCTGAGGAACTCCAAACTGTAGCAGTGAAGAAAAGGAGGAGAATCCAGCAAAGGAGGTGAACAAAGAGCAGCCAGAAAGCAAATGGGTAAAACAGTTGAGTGAGTGTGGAACAACAGAAGTTAAAGTAGTATTTCAAGAAGGAAGAAATGGACAACTGTTTAGAACACTTCTGAGAAGCCAAACAATATAAAGACCACTGATTCTGCCAAAGTGCATCTCCTGACAATGGCCAATTCGGTGGAGGGCTAAGGTGAAAACAGAAAATGAGAAAGTGATTCAGCTGGCAGAGATGATTCTTTGGAAGATTTCTGCTAAGAAGAGAGCAGAAAAAAGAAGCAATGATTGTGAAGGGACATGAGATTTGTTTTTTATCCTTAATACAGGCAATAGTAATCCAGTGTAGTAAATTGCATAGTGTGGCTTTTCTAGCCATAAGTCTTTGTAAACTCTATGGTGGAATTTGCCACGAACAACTGAGTAGCTCTTGATTGTTAAAGTTATCACCTGGGGTATTTCTGTTGAGAGTGGCAAGAAGCAATCTTCTGGGAAGTTATCTCTATCTCAGATGTATTGAATTCTGATGTTGGGATTGGTTAGTTTGGCCACTCTGCCAGGCTCAAAAGGAGCCCTCTTAGAGGCAAAAAGAGTCTCTCTGACTGCTGGCTGAGAAAGACGCACTACTGAGAGAAACACGCTCCTGAGAGATGTGCACTGCTGAGAGATGCAAGAGACATGAGAGACATGTGCTGCTGATAGAGCAACATGCTACAGAGACTACCAGCTGCAAGAGACTGAGTGCATTTCTGAACTTGAATTGTAGTCTGTTACTTCCCTAAGAAACCCCATAAACTGTAAGCTGTCTGTGGCCACTGCAGCCAATTATCAAATCCAGCAAAGAGATGGAGGGCGTGGCAAGAAGAATGGTTGGTGAAAGGGCTGGAGGGACACAACATGTCTGGCCTCACAGGAATAGGCCTTGGGCTACTGACAGTGAGTCTATCTTCCTCTTGTGGGGTTAGAGAAGGTCAGAAGATGTGCTCTCCCTGCCTCTTTAGCAAGTAAGAAATGATAGAAAAGAAGATGCAGGGAAAAAAAGAAAAGAAGAGAATGGCATTAGCAAAGACCTTGGGCAAATAAGAGGCTGAGATATAGAGCACATATAGAAGGGTTTATCATAGATAAAACCAAGGGCTTCATACACTAGAAGAAATGGAAAAGTAGACTATTAGAATATTATGAAGCAGACACTTCAAACAGAAAATTCTCAACATTATTTCCTAGGATCTAGATACCAAAAAAAAGGATCCCATACCATGGTCCCAGGCAACATGAAGCTCAATTGGCATAAAATACAAAAGAAAAACACAATTCCACATCCTACTTTGGTGAATAGCGACTGGGATCTTAAAAGCTTGCAAGCAGCCATCTAGATGCAACAATGGGTCTCTCCTCATCCAGAGCAAAGAAGAATGAAGAAAACCAAAGACTCATGGAAACAGTTAGTCCAAACAAGTAGTACAGCATGTGATCCTCTGCCTATCAACTATGAGACCAGAGAAACTAGATGGTGCCCAGCTACCACTGTCAACCACTTGGAGGAGGATCTGTGTAGGAGAGCCTGTATGAAGCAGGAGAACAATGTGGAACAAAACTCAAAATTATTAAAAAAAAAAAAAAAAAAAAAATACCAGGCTTGCTGGTCTGACAGAGCCTGGTGAAATCCCTGAGATTATGGCCCCTAGCTGCCCTTCAGGTCTGGAATCGAACCTACTCTTATGGCTTCCAGCCAAATAAAAGACTAGCATATAGGCTGAACATTTACATCAGGTAGATACACTCCTTGGAGAGATCAATCATGAGAGAACAGAAGGGCAGTGTATGCACAGGGAGACAGCTCAGGGAGCAAGAGTGTATGTGAGGAAAGGACACAGGGAAGAGGTAACTATGGGGAGGAAGTGGAATGAGAACTGTTACATGGTGGGAAATTGCAGTCAATGTCATGAGACAAAATGTGTGTGAACTGCTGTATGGAAAATTAAACTGCTGTAAACTTTCACCCAAATCACAATAAAAATTTAAATTAAAAAAAAAGGATCCCTGGTGGCACAGTGGTTAAAAAACTTTGGCTGCTAACCGAATGACCTGTGGTTCAAATCCACTAGCCACTCCGTGGGATTTGGCAGTCTGCTTCCAAAAAGATCTACAGCCTTGGAAACAGTTCTATTCTGTCCTATAGGGTTGCTATGAGTCAAAACTGACTCAACAGCAACAGGTTTGGTTTTTGGTTTTTTGTTGGATATCAAAAAACTCCCTCCTTTAGGAGATGTAACATTTTGAAAATCTAAAACAGGTCCTAAAAAAAAATCTGAAATCACTTTTACATGTTAAAATGATAAAGGGAAAATCTGAACTCTGACAATAAAAACAAACCACTACTTAATCTGTCTCACAAGATGGAGAAAATCTACCTACAAATTTACAATTCTAAGCTATTCCACAAGCAATAAATCTAGAATCAATCTACTACATGCTAACAACTATGTGTCACCAGGGATTCTAAAATACACTTCAGGAAAACTAGCACACAAAAATCGAACATGGTCCTTTATCCTTGAAGAAAGACATCAAGTTTTCTTATACATCTCTGAATTCCCATCTTCTAGCACAAAGACGGTGTTCAAGAAATGTTTACTGACTAAGTTAGTTAAAGATACAAGCAAAAGAGAATAGAAGGATAGGAAAGAATCAATTTATTCTAAAATGGAAACTGGGAAATGTCAGAAAAGGACTTTCAGATATAACATTTGAACTTAGCCTCACCAGCTGTTACCATTCAAGTCAATTCCACTCATGGGAACCCTATGAGTGTCAAAGCAAAACTATGTGTCATAGAGTTTTCAATGGTTGGTTTTTCAGAAGGAGATCACCAGGCCTTTTTTGAGGTACTTCTGAGTGGATGCAAACCTCCAGCCTTTAAGTTGGCAGCCACGTGTGAGTACATTAACCATCTGCACCACCCAGGGACTCCAGTTTAGCCTTAAAAGACACTAAACATCGACCCAGAATTAGCCTGAATGAATGCAGGGAAGTCATTCCAGACAGAGAGATCAGCATAAACAAAAGTATAAGGCATACAAGTAAGTGGCAACAATGAATGGCATATACTGCTCTGACATATTCAAATCAGTACTGATGGAAAGTAGAGTAGGGTATCAGATTACAAAGGCCTTTGCTTACCCCAGCCATTAATATGCTAATTCTATCAATATTCAATGAGAGCTACTATGTTCCAAGAATTATTGTAGGTGCTAATGATATTGAAGGAAAGACAGTGTTTCTGCCCTGATGGGAGCTTAGAGAGTCATCCATAGGTTCTTTCAGAACAAAGACAGGATCTCATTAATTCCAGATCCCTCACCTCATCTAACGGTATTTCTCAGACACTAGAAAAATCACTATTTGTCTAATTGAAAGCTGCTTTTTTAAAAGGATGATTCAACATTATTAAGGTCAGAAAGAAAAATAAACATATAGTAGTACCTCTTTACAACTGGAGAAAAATACAATACTCTTCTTCTTCAGATGGCTTCTCATAAAAGAATATAGCACACTTATTTTTTGCTGCAGCTCACAAACTATGTAGTTCTGTTCCAAAGTGGCAGGGGTGCTTGTAGAATTGAGTGGGGTAAAAGCATTAAAAATAAGTCATATTGGTAATTTGAAAATACAGACAAAAAACAAAAAACAACTGTTAAATTTTTAACAACAGCACATCTCTCAAGTAAATCCTCCACCTTCCAAAAATTAACTTCTCTTTTCTATTGTCCCTTGGGAAATAAATTCAACACATGACTAAAACACATTCAAAATCCCTTATAGAATATGTATGAAAAATACACATGAAACCACAGTTGCCTCTGAAAGGAAAGGATTTGGGCTACAGAAGTATACACATTTGTCAAAATTCAGCAAATGTACTTAAAATTTATACATTCCATAATATGTAAATTATACATAAAACATACTAAACTCTAGTATTTTTTGTTTTAACTAAACCTTTGCTATTTATCTACCTAGGGAATAACCCTTCCTCAACTGGTAGAAGGTAGAATGGTGACTGGTAAAATACCTATTAACATTTTTTAGAAAAAGTAGTATTTATTCCCAAGACTACATTTTGGAAAGTGCTGCTTCAGAATATTCTCATATCTGGTACACTCAGAATTTGAGTAATTTTAATTCATGTATTTACTATGCTTATACATCTAATAATAACAAATTCATGAAATGATGTTTTATGTAATGGAAAAGTAATAGTAACTTAAAATATCAAATTCTTAAACTAAAAAAGAGAATCTTGATGTTTTCATTGCATCAAACATGGTTTCAAATAGTGCATACCTATATTTTGCTCTCTCATGAACCCAGACATACTCAGGGTTTTTCAAACTCAAGCGCGCAAGGTCTTTTACAGATTTGGTTTGTGTTGCTGAGAAAAGCAAAGTCTGACGTTTCTTAGGCAGATTTTCAATAATAGCATTCACAGTATCAGCAAAGCCCATGTCCAAGATTCTATCTGCTTCATCGAGAACTAAAAAGGGAAAACGCAAGTTGAACTATAAAATTTAACATATGCATTAGGATAAATGTAACGTGGTATTGTGGTTTGACCCTCAAACAGAAAAAGATCATTAGTGGAAAAACTGATGAAATCCTAATAAAATTCTGAAATTCAATTTGTAATAACATGGCAAGGTTAATCTTTTAGTTTTGACAAAGGTACCACAGTTATGTAAAATATTAACTCTAGGGAAAACTGGGTAGAGCATATGGGAACTCTGTATTATCATTGTAACTGTTCTGTACATTTAAATTATTCTCATAGCGACCCCTCCTTGGGTTTCCGAGGTGGTATCTCTACGGAAGCAGATTTCCCAGTCTTCCTTCCAAGGAGTGGCTGCTGGGTCTGAACTGCCAGCCTTTTAGTTAGTAGTCAAATACCTTAGACACTACACCACCAGAGCTCCCATAAAATACTAAGTTACTGCTTAAAAGTACACACTAGGTAGTAACACCAAGCAGAAAAGAAAAAGTTCCCAAAAAAAATGCCTATTTGACTTTTCAGCTTAGCATAGGTGGGTGTTACTTAAAAAAAGAAAGTAATTCCTTAAAAACCAATTTCCATTGGGTCAATTCCAACTCATGGTGACCTCCATAGGTCAGAGTAAAACTGTTCTGCATATGGTTGGTTTTCAGTGGTTGAGTTTTTGGAAGTACCTCATAGGCCTGTCTTTCAAGATGCCTCTAGATGGATCCAAACCACTAACCTTTTGGTTAGCAAAACCAAAACCAAACCAAACTCGCTGCCATCGAGTTGGATTCAACTCATAGCGATCCATCCTTGGGTTTCCAAAGTGGTCACTACAGAAGTAGATTGCTCAACCTTCTTTCCTAGGAGTGGCGGGTGATTAGTAGCCAAGCGGGGGGAAAAAAATTCTCAACAGTGCATAACACTTAAGTGCCTCATTTCATATATATGAGATTACTTATATCTATTTTGATGAAAGAGGGAAAAAAAAGATCTAGCTGTACTCTCTGTTTAGAACCCAAATAACCAAAATTTTTTAAAAATCACATTATTCCTTAGATTGTTCTTAACCATAACATTTATCCAGTTAAACATTTTGATCATTAAAATTTGTGAAGGCTCTCTCCTAAGTGTGAGGTTTTTCATTAAAAATTCATTAAACTCACCTAACATTTGGAGATTGGTAGCATGAAAACATATTGTTTCATCCATGTGTTGAAGAAGCCGACCAGGTGTGCAAACTAGGATATTTATGTTATTGATCCTCTCAGCTTCGTGTTTCAAATCCTGAAAACAATTATTTCTTTAGAATACTTATCACTCTGAGCACTCAGACTTTAAAAAAAGTGCATGTGCCTTTTCATCACAGCAGTTTAGATACACCAGAAATGAGCCTAATTTCTCCCTTCTATTTCTACAGCACATCCAAATTTCTGGGCTATATATAGTCCTTCCTAAAGACCTAAAGAGCTCAGAGTTCCTCTAGATTCTTAATCATAACCAGGATTTTGAAACCAAGAAAAAAATCACTAAATGAATGTTGCAAGTCTCAATTTCCCAGTAAATCTGCCAGAACTGATTAAACATCTGGAATTCCTTCCATTTTCTAGTAGGTCAGAGCCCAGGAGCATTGATCAGGCTCCCTGACACCACTCTCTGCATCTCTGTGGACTAAAAACAACAAATGAGCTCTCCACATGTTAGCAATTCTCTCCTTGAAACAAGAACCATGGAATATTGCTAGATAACAAACACTTGAGTACATGAGGATTTGTGATGCTATTCTTTTTGTGTGTGTGTACATATACACTTACATGTAAAGTCAAGTAGTGAAGTGTTTATCCTCACAGTCTAGAATAGGCTTTAGCAGATGTAAGCACCACGGGTATACTACAGGGCAGAGCAAAAGTTGAGCAGCAGGTTTAACCACAGCCTAAAATCAGCATTCCTCAAAACTATCTACCTTCCTTTCTTCTGCTGCTGGCCAAGCAATGCCCTGAATTACTTAACCTCTTGGATTTATCAAAAAGAATTAGTCCACATATTTAAATGGCATCTTTTCCAATATATATAACAAATCTATGTACAGACTGATTGGAGTACATTAGTCTCAAAGAGCCTGATCACTACCAGACTTTCTGACAAAATAGACTTTCTAGACCTGCAAAACTGACAACCTGGACTCTAGATGACAGTGACCACACTAAGATGCTACCATCCCACAAGTCACTGTCTGGGGAGCCAGACTATGTGTTTAGATGAAATCTCCACTTCTTCCTTGTCAATGGCCAGTGTTCCAACAAAAGTTGTAGAGGGAAAGGAGGAGGACTAGGACAAAAGAACAAACCTTTCCACCAATGATGAGACCAGCTGAAAAGTCATGATTCTTTCCTACTTTTCGAAGAACCTCAAAGGTCTGATAGGCCAGTTCTCTCGTAGGTGATATTATCAGAACTCCCAGTCCATCTGCTGAGGTCCACTGCAGACGATATAAGGCTTCCAGCACCTCAAAACAGACAGCAATTAAGAGTCAATAAGATCTTAGAAAAGTCATCTTTTTGATCTCTGAGCCTCAACCTTGCTCCTTCAAATCAAAAAAAAAAAAAAAACTCACTGCCATGGAGTTGATTCCGACTCATAGCAACCCCCTTTGGGTTTCCAATACCACTCTCTGCACCTTTGTGGACTGAAAACAATAGATGTCAGGTGTCCAGCAGCTGCAGAGCCACAGCATCAGGAGAATGCAATGTACACCCCCATCGACAGTTAAAATAAATTTAACAGAAATATTTGTCATCATCATTTTCTAAACAGAAATCACATTACAATGAACTTTTCTCTGTGGAGCTACTGCAGTTATCTAGTGACTGGATTCTCTAAGAATGGAGAGACAATTGTGAAGGGGAAAAAAAACTTGAAAGAAAAACTAAAATGTAATTTTTCTGCACCAGTTATTGTGTAAGAATCAAAAATTAGGAGATCAACTGCATAACTAAGATGTAAGTGAATTCCTAAGAGGCTCTCTTGTTTTACTGCTATCAAGGACAGCTGTCAATATTCCAGAAAATTCTCAACCAATGACCAAATCTCCTGAAAGTGAGCACACTTCCTGGGCTTCCAACCAATTTTCTAGCTCAGCCCCCTGTTGAGAAAGTGTACATAAGAATCACCTGAGCATCCTGTTAAACTGTAGATTCTGATTCAGTATATCTGGGGTGGAAATGCAAATTCTCAGCAGAGGGTCAAACTGGAACTATCAGCTTTATCCTACACAAATGACAACTGTAACTGCAACTGGCAGGTTTGCCAGGGTGAAGGCAAGACCATCCCTCCCCATCTGTCCTATTGAAAAGTAGAACTATTCTGACCTGCCACTTGGAAGCACTCCACATTAGAAGAATATAATGATGTGTCAAGGCACAATAATTCACATATTAAGTAAGTTACTGAGTGCTCACCATGTACAAAGTACTAAGCTAGCACCAGAGGAATACAGTAGAGAGCAAGACAGGTGTGGCCCTTGCCTGCTAAGGCTCACATTCTACCCAGAAAGCCCAATATGAAACAACGCATTACACATTTATTTGCACCTATGTCAAGGGCTATAAAGCACTGGTTATAAAATTGAGTAATGGAGGATCTGACCTGATATGAGTAAAATACTTACTGGAACAAGGAAAGCCAAAGTCTTGCCAGATCCAGTTTTGGCAGCTCCAAGCACATCTTTACCCTGCAAAGCCAATCCAATGGTCTGCTTCTGTATCTCAGTTACCAAACGGTACTGGGCTTCTTGCAAACCTGGTAAGATGGAAAGAAAGAGAATGATACTTTGGAAAAGCCCTGCAAAAAAGGTATCACATTTTTGTTTCCTTGCTTATTTTAATTAAAACAATTATGCTTCATTTTAATTATTCAAAAGTTCTAACTATCTTGTATTTTTACTACTATACTTCAACTTATTCAGAAAGAATGAAGAGAATGACAAATTCGTAAAACTCAGTTATTAATATTACTTGTCAGAGGTTTCCATCATACCAAAATAATTTGCCAAAATAACATTTCAGGTTAAACTGAATCATCTTCTACTTATATCAAAAATGCAATAACATGTCCCAGCATTATCATGTACCTACCTTTCAATGTTTTTTTGGACAAAGGGAAATCTGAAAATCTTGTAATTTCATTTACATTTATCTGGGGTGGATAGAGAAAAGAGAGGCTGTGTTAGATACAAAAAAAAATAATAATCTACTGTATAATTCATTTGTTTCAGAATAAAACTATTTCTCAACATTAAACTGTGCTGCCTAGTTCATCCTTGGTACTGCAAGTTAACTCAGAATTCATTCATCACTTCTAATTAAAAACTACCATTCCTCCTGAAATAGGCCAGGAGGAAGTAATCTTAAATCAAAATTATAAAATTTGTAACCTTTTCAATTAGTTTAAAAAAAAAAAAAAACACTTTCTTCCTCCCTTTGCCCTCCACGCACACAAAGAGGGCACATATAACTTGCCTGAACACACTTCACCTCCAAGATGTTAGTAACACAGTAAGGCATGACTACATCGATCTTAGGAAGAAAATTTACTTTTAAATCATCCTTCAAAAGATATTAGTTTAACAAATAAAAGGGGAAATGACTACAAATCACAGACTATGATGAGAATGGTTCTATTTACAAATCTTAGAGAATAGATTGAAATTAGTTAGATAAATATATCTTGTTAGCACAACCTTTCGAAATGTTCACTATAAATGCAGTGATGTGTGAAATCCAACCTGACAACTACTCATTTGCGGTGTTCTGAAGGAAAGAGATTACTTCACAATAATTTTGCCCTTTAACTTTATATTATCCAAATGTTCATTACTGATGTTCTTCATTAGCATAAACCCAATTTTCTGAATTCCATCTGGCTGCTCAAGAGAATTAGTTTATTGCAGATGCTGAAAGCAAAAACTATTGCTCAACTCTGGAAATATGCTGCCAAATTATTCATGATTCACAAAAGAGGAAAGCTGCATTTGTAAGGTTCATTTATTCAAATTACACTCCAGGCAGTAAAGGGACAACAGCTTGTATTTCATTTTACAATCCACACATCATCTTTCCCAAGGTTCCTAATGTAGTCCCAGCAGGGTTACTCCATGCCCTCAAATACTAAAAACACAAATATATGAAAACATTGTATGAATCCCTAACATCATTCCAGATAATACTGGAAAGCTGGCAGAATCAATGAATTAGCACTAGGAGAATAGTTCATTCAAATAACATCCTGTCCCAGCAAAGAACTTCAATTAGAAGATAATCTCCCAAATCAGACATTAAAATTAAGAGCGGGTCGTCGTCCGTCCCCCCCCCCCCCCCACCTTGTACTTGGACAATTAACAGCTAAAAAGCTGTTCTTATAGGGATTAGAATGCAAAAGGAAATCGCGACTTTTGTGATGCTCTAGAAGAGAAGTCAGCATACTATGGTTCAGAGGCCAAATTCAATTCACTGCCTACTTTTTGTAAAGAAAGTTTTACTGGGCCTATACTCATTCATTTAGAAATTATATATGTAGTTGTGACAGAGATCATAGGGCCTGCAATACCTAATATAACTACTTGGTCCCTCACAGAAAAAGATGGTCAACCCCATCCTGGAAAATATCAGAGGATGGCTGCAGTTCTAACAAAATAACAATCTTCTCTCTATCCCGTTCACTCCTCTCTCTTTAATCCTCACACTCGCTCTCTAAAATCTGTATTATCATTCCCATTAATTCAAATAAAAGATGTTTCATAATGGTACTTATTAGTTGTTGCTGTTAAATTAATTGACTTTGACTCACAGTGACACCATGTGACAGAGCAGAACTGCCCCCTACAGGGTTTCCTACGCTGTAATTTTTACAGGAGCAGATCCACCGGGTCTTTCTCCTATAGAGCGGCTGGTGGGTTCAAACCGTCGCTCTTTCAGTTAGCAGCCAAGTGCTTAGTCGTTGAGCCACCAGGACTCCTTAACTCTTACTAAAGACCTCTAAACCTTTCTGGAAAAGTTGGAGGGGGGAGAAGGAATCGGGTAGGTATCACTGAACCATTCTCCTATATATTTTATAATCCTTTCTATCATAATACCCATTTCTCACAAAAATGAATAATGCCTTTACATCCTGGAAGCACAAGAAAAACGTATTTAAAACAAAATAATCCACCTACTGCAAACAAGAAAAGAAAAACCATTTGCTTCAAATCACATGAGACCAAATTTTGATTAAGAATCAAGATTATAATGCACTACCAATTACAAAAAAACGTCTAAATGAATCAACCCCAGAGCCACAGGGTTTCAGTCATTTGTGCACATACACACACGCACAAACTGCAGTCAAGTCGTATCTGACTCATAACAACCCCTCCTTGGGTTTCCAAGGCGGTATCACTATGGAAGTAGATTGCCCAACCTTCCTTCCGGGGAGTGGCTGGTGGATTTGAGTCGCTGGCCTGTTTGGTTAACAGCCAAATGCCTTAGGCACTAAACCACCAGAGCTCCCTTCAGTCATTCAGCAATAATGAAAACATTTTTCAAATAAGTCTCAATCCCCAACATTTCATCAGCCCTTTCAACTCATAAGGAGTTCTGTTGTTGTAGTGCTTAAGGCATTTGACTACTTACCAGAAGGCTGGAGGTTCAAACCTACCAGCCACTCCGCAGAAGGAAGACTGGGCAATCTACTTCCATAAAGATTTACCACCTCGGAAACCCAAAGGGGATCACCATGAGTCAGAATTGACTCGATGGCAGTGAGGTTTTTTTTTTTTAACTCATACCCCTATGTGATATGTCACTCAGATCTGCTACAGGGAAGAGTTCACTGATGGGCACAAAATGTCACTCCTGTAGATATACCACAGCAGAGGCCATGCTTCCCCTGGGTTGCTCCCAGTCACTGGCTGAGCATGGTAGTACTGCTGCAAGCCCATCATGCAGGATGGGGGTTTCCTCTAGCAAGACCTCAGCTTGAGGGCTCCCCATCAACCTGGCCAAGCATTCTTAGAACTGTGCTGCAGTCTAAGACTTCCAACCAAATCCTTCCACATTGTGCTCTGAAGGTTTTCCCTCCTCCCTATTCCTTAGCATTCACAGGCATTTTCCTCAATAATTCTCCAATTCACCTGATCCATCTTGACACCTGCTTCTCAAAGCATACAAGACCTAGACTATGTCATCTCCTATCTGGTCCCTTAGCCCCAGACCTTTTATGCTTAGATATATTCTCTACATTCCTTCTAAACTTGCCACTATTTCCAGGTAAGAGTCTCTGAGCATGACCTTTGTATTAATTTCCTACTATTGCTATAAAAAACTGTCACAAACTTATTGGCCTAAAACACACATTTATTATCTTAACAGTTCTGAAGTTCAGAAATTTGAAATGAGTCTCATGGGCTATAATCAAGGGCTACATCTGTTACGGGTGCACTGGGAAAGAATCTGTTTTCTTGCCTTTTCCAGCTTCTAGAGAGGCTGCCCACATTCCTTGGCTTAAGGCCCCCAAGCCCCTCCCATTTGCAAACCCAGCAACAACTGGTTGACTCTCACATTTTATCACTCTGACACTGATTTTCCTGCTTTCCTCTTCCACATTTAAAGATGCTTGTGATTACATTGGCCCCACCTGCAAAATCCAAGCTACTCTCCCTATTTTAAGGTCAGTTGATTGTTATTGTTGCTGTTGTAGTTTTTAGGTGCTGTCCAATTGTTTCCAACTTATATCAGCTCTGTGAGCAACAGAACAAAATACTGCCCAGTCCTGTGCCATTCTCACAATTGTCATGTTTCAGCCCATTATTGTAGCCATGTGTCAGTCCATCTCCTTGAGGGTCTTCCTCTTTTTCACTGATCCTCTACTTTACCAAGCATGATATCCTTCTCCAAAGACTGGTCCTTCATGATAACAAAGTATGTGAGACAGAGTCTTACCATTCTTCCTTCTAAGGAGCATTCTGGTTGTACTTCTTCCAAAATATATTTGTCCATTCTTATGGCAGTCCATGACATATTCAATATTTTTCACCAACACCGTAATTCAAAGGCATCAAAATTTTCTTCTTCCTTATTCACTGCCCAGTTTTCACATGAATATGAGGCAAATAAAAACACCATGGCTTGAGCACCTTAGTCCTCAAAGTCACATCTTTCCTTTTAAACTGTTTATAGAGGTCTTTTGCAGCCACTTTGCCCAATGCAATGCACCATTTGATTTCTGGACTGTTACTTCCATGGGCATTGATGTGGATTCAAGTAAAATGAAATCCTTGACAATGCCCATCTTTTCCCCATGATGTTTCTCACTGATCTATTACAAGGATTCTGTTTTATTTATGTTGGGGTATAATTCATACTAAAGGCTCATAGTGACCCCATTGGGTTTCCAGAGCAGTAATCTTTACAGAAGTAGATTGTCCAGTCTTCCTTCCACGGCATGGCTGATAGGTTTGAACCGCCAATAATCTTTGATCTTCATCAATAAGTACTCCAAGTCTTCTTCACTTTTAGCAAGCAAGGTTGTATAATCTGTGTACTGTAAACTGTTCATGAGTCTTCTTCCAATCCTGATGCCATACTCTTTCTCACACAGTCCAGCTTCTCAGATTATTTGCTCAAAATACAGACTGAATAAGTATGGAGAACAGTTACAACCCTGACACACACCTTTCCTGAATTTAAAACACACAATATCCCCTGTTCTGTTCGAATGACTGCCTCTTTGTCTATGCACAGGTTCTACATGAGCACAATTTATTGTTCCAGAATTCCCATTCTTTGCAATGTTATCCAAAATCTGTTATGATCCATGTAGACAAATGCCTTTGCATCACAAATAAAACACAGGTAAGCATCTTTCTGATATGCTCTGCTTTCAGCCAAGATCCATTTAACATCAGCAATGATATCCCACTTCCCACATCCTCTTCAGAATCAGGCTTGAATTTCTGGCAGTTCCCTGTTGATGAACTGTGGCAACCATTTTTTAATTCTCTTCAGCAAAATTTTACTTGCATGTGATGCCAATGATATTGTTCAATAATTTTCACATTATGTTGAATAAATTGTCTTTGGAATGGGCACAAACATGGCTCTCTTCTAGCTGGCTCGGTAGCTGTCTTCCAAATTTCTCGGCATAGATGAGCACTTTCAGCACTCCACCCATTTGTTGAAATATTTCAATCATATTCCATCAATTCACAGAGCCTTGTTTTTTGACACTGCCTTCAGTGCAACTAGGACTTTCTCCTTCAATACCATTGGTTCTTGATCACATGCTACCTCCTGAAATGGCTGAATGCTGACCAACTCTTTTTGGTACACTGACACTGTGTATTGCCTCTATCTTTTTTTGATGTTCCCTGCATCATTCAATTTTTTGCTAAACTCACTGCCATCAAGTTGATTCTGACTCATAGTGACCCTATTGGGTTTCCAGAGAGTAAATCTTTACAGAAGTAGATTGTCCAGTCTTCCTTCCACAGCATGGCTGGTAGGTTTGAACTGCCAACCTTCTGGTTAGCAGTCAAATGCCTTAGGCACTACACCACCAGAGCTCCTATTTTTGCCCTTAGATCCCTCAATATTGCAACTTGAGGCTTGACTTTTTTCTTCAGTTCTTTCAGCTTGAGAAATGTCAAGCACATTCTTCCCTTTTGCAGGTCTTTTTACATTTCATTATAATACTTTACTTTGTCTTCTCAAGCCACTCTTTGAAATCTTCTGTTCAGCTTTTTTACTTCATCATTTCTTCTATTTGCTATAACTACTCTATATTCAAGAGCAAGTTTCAGATTCTCTTCTAACAATAACTTTGGTCAATTCTTTCTTTCCTGTTTTCTAATGACCTTTTGCTTTCTTCATGTATGATATTCTTTATGTCATCCCACAACTTGTCTGGTCTTCAGTCATTAGTGTTCAATGCGTCAAATCCATTCTTGAGATGGTCTCTAAATTCAGGTAGTATATACTCAAGGTAGTAATTTGGCTCTCATGGACTTGTTTTATTTGTCTTCAGCTTCAACCTGAACTTGCATATGAGTAACTGATGGTATAATCCATAGTCGGCCCTTGGCCTTGTTCTGACTGATAACACTGAGCTTGTCCATCATCTATTTCCACAGATGTAGTCTATTTGATTCCTATATATTCTATCTGGTGAGGTCCACATGTATAGTCACCATTTATGTTGTTGAAAAGGTATTTGAAATGTGTAAGCAGTTGGTAAAAATCTTCAGTTTCTTCTTTGGCTTTAACAGATGGTACATAACTTGAATAGTCTTATTAACTGGTCCTCCTTGTAGGACTATGGATTTTATCCTTTCACTGTCAGCATTGTAGTTTAGAATAGATCTTGAAATGTTCTTTTTGACAATGAATCTGACACTATTCCTCTTTGTCATTTTCAGCATAGCAGACCACATGTTTACTTGATTAAAAATGGCCAATTCCATTCTCCACATAACAACATATTCACAGGTTCCAGGAGTCAGGATGCAGACATCTCTAAGCAAAAATCAAACCAAAGCCCTGCCATTGAGTAAATTCCAACTCACAGTTACCCTCACTGGGTTTCCAAGGTAGTAAATCTTTACAGAAGTAGATTGCCCAGTCTTGCTTCTGCGGAGCGGCTGGTGGGTTTGAACCACCAACCTTCTGGTTAGTAGTCAGATGCCTTAGTCACTGTGCTACCAGAGCTCTTTGCCGACATTTCTAGGAGGCCACTATTATGCCTACCACAGCCTCCAAAGCTTCAATCCTCTTCTCCAACTTCATCTGAAGCCAATTCAGGGACAGATCCAACAGTCAAAAATCCATCTTTTTTGAATTTCCTCATGTTGCTCTTCCAACCCAGAACATCCTTGCCAATATTTTCCATCTGGCGAACTCATCATTCAAGAACTAGCCCCACTCATGATTACCATATATATTGCTGGACAGCATTTGCACTGCGAAAGGCACCCGGTAAGGCTGAAGTATGTGGAAAAAAATCCAGTTCGCACTCAGGCTTGAGGCTGCAACCAAAGGAGGAAGGGTAGTGCAAAGAAGAAACATGTTTTCCTAATTCATCTGCACACAAGGGTCATTGTACAATATAATCCAACCTTGTTTTTCTCCAAGTGTACAGATTTTCTGACACCATATCACTGTAAATACTATTTTAACATTGTCAAATTGTATCATCCTGACTCCATGGCTATAGCAGATAACTCCCTAAGAACAAAGGCTTTGTGTTTTTCCTTTTTTTTTTTTTAACCTAGGCCTTAATAAACAAAAAAAAACTCACTGCTGCTGAGTCGGTCTCCACTCATAGCGATCCCCCTTGGGTTTCCAAGACAGCATCTCTACAGAAGTAGACAGCTCAGTCTTCCTTCCGAGGGCTGGATGGTAGGTTTGAACCATCAGCCTTCTGGTTAGCCGTCAAATGCCTTATACACTACATCACAAGAGCTCCCAGGCCTTAACAAGCACCTCTCAAATTGCTGAAATTCAGAATATGTTTCTGGATCAGATTTTTCAGTATTTCACCAGTAAGGTTAGTAAATACCACCTGTGTACCATGGCTCTACAATAAAAGATTGGAGGTTTGAGTCCACCCAGAGGCACCTCAGAAGAAAGGCCCAGTGATCCATTTCTGAAAAACCAACCATTAAAAACCACATGGAACACAGTTCTACTTTGACAGAGCAGATTTCTAGGTACCTCTGGGTGGACTGCAATTCCAACTCTTCCTTTAGCAGCCAAGCACTTTTACTGTTTGCACCACCCAGGGACTGCAGTTCCAACCTCATGACCTGCAAAGCTGAAAACATTTACTATCTTGACAGAAAAAAAGTTTACTGAGCCCTCTTGTAAGCACCAGCTACTGTAGTGATCCAAGCAAGAGAAGACGGGACCTGAACATATTGAATAATTACTATATGCCAAGCATTATACAGAAAACTTTTAACTGCCCAAAACAACTTAAAAGACAGATACTATTAATGTTCCTTTAAAAACAAGAAAGGGGAAGCACACAGAATAAGTAACTTGCCCAATCTGGTTAGCAAGAACTGGGATCGAAGTCATTAGCATCTTGACTCTAAAGCACAAAACAAACTCCCAAACTCAGAAGGAAGGTTGTGCAATCTACTTCTGTAGTGATTCCACCTCAGAAACCCAAAGAGGGGTCGCTATGAGTCAAGGCCAACTCGAGGGCAGTGAGTTTAATTTGGTGTGGAATCTTACTATTAATATATGAGTCATTTAAAGAAAAGGTATGCCAGGACAAGGGATGAGTTTAATTCCATGAATATTCCATGTTAAATTCCTGGTTACATTACACTAGAAGGGGGCAGTCACTGAAAGGATGAGTGAGATGGGTGAAGGCCAACAGACATGGCATTTAGTGGGAAGGAGAAGCAGGAGGAAATGGCAGATCCAAGGAGCCTGAGCTGGGAAACAGGTCACAAGTGCTAACTGGAGGAATAACCAAAGAAAACCACCCACTGCCATTGAGTTGATTCCAACTCATAGCAACCCTATTGGATAGAGTAGAACTGCTCCTAAGGTTTCCAGGGCTACTAATGTTTTTTGGTTAGCAACTGAATGCTTTAACCATTGCACCACCAGAGCTCCTTACTGCAGGGATACTCATCTGTAAACATTACCTGCAATGTGGATAGTGTCTACCAGGAAAAGACCAGTAGTCCTGCTATCCTACACCAATTCTTGGACCGGGATATGAACCAAGTGGAGAAAATGAGATGGGCAAAGGAAGGACGATGGATGATATTGCTGGAGACGGTCTGGCATAATGGTTAAGAGCAAGGCTTGAAATCAGAAAACCATGTGTTTAGGTTCCAATCGCACACCACCTACTAAGTGTGAGAGCTTGGGACAACACTCATAGTCTCAGAGCCTCAGTTTCCACTTCTGTAATATGGGGCTATAGATACATTAATTCAGGGCAAATCAAAGTAATATAAAGCCCATGGCAAATGTTTAAAAACGTAGGCAGCATTATAACCATGATTACTGATAACATTGTTATGATTATTGCTATAATACATCACTAGTAGCAGTAATAGTAATATCCCTACTCTTCAGTAACCCTGACTTTCCACGATTTTATCAAGAACAGTGGGATGACCATAAGAGTGTCGTGGACGTCCAGAGACTTGGGAAGTGATCATTCGTGGGACCTCAATAGGGTCCCCGATGACACCTCCCACCGCACTCCATTCTCAAGCCCAGTAGACTAACGGAATGCTCCCAGGATAGGTCCCCAGTGACAAATCCATCCCCTCTCCTATGCCGCTCACCGCTGCAGGGAAACTTACACCGGCTCCCTGCCCACCTGGTACACGGATGCCGACCTACACCCCCTCCCCAGCTCCAACATGTGCTCGCCTCACCTTCTCATAATTTTGCATTAGGCGGCTAATAACCTCGCGTTCGATCTGCCACTCCGGCTTCTTCAGTTGCTTCCTCAGCTGCTTCTTTTGGTTCTGCTTATGGCTGTGTTTCTTCTTCCAACGATTGAAGCTCCGCACCGGATCTGGTCGGCCTCCGGGATCCAGAGAGCCAGCAGTCTTGCCCATCGCGGCCTCGCTGACAGACCAGATTACCCTCAGACAAGAGACACCTCAACCCACGCTGAGGTGAGGAACTGAAAGGACGCGGAACCAACGTGAAGAAAGCGGAAACTAACGCATGCGCAATCCCAGGAGTCCGCCCCCCGAATTTTTGAAACCGGGGCACGCGCCAATGACGGCAAAGAAAACGCGGGCGATGATTGGTGACTTGAGTTCCACAGGGCGTAGCGTAGCAGTCTCTGGGAAACCAGGCGGAGCGATCTAAGGATTTGGGCGGAGCTAAGAGTCTGTCTCGAGCACGCCGGCTCTTTAAATATGCGCGTGCGAACTGGTTGCTGTTAGTAAAGTGACGTCATACTATTTAATGTTAAGGGTTGTAAAGATTTGTTCACGCCAGCCTTTCCAAACGCGCGCAGACACAAACAGACACGCACCCTCACTCGCTATCAATTATAATTACAATCCTTGTTTAGAATATGGAAGACTGAGGCCCAGGAAGCCTGACTTTTTTCTAAATTCAAACAGCTATTTAATGACCTCATTTCCATCACTGAAGCGGTGAGAAAAATTAAATATTATGTATTCCTCTTATATGGCGCTCTAGTGCTGCTAACCAAAAGGTAAGCAGTTGGAACCTATCAGCTGCTCTGCCAGAGAAAGAGGAGGCCGTCTACCTGCATAGAGATTTACAACCTTGGAAACCCTATAGAGCAGTTCTGTGTTGTAAAGGGTCACTATGAGTGAAAATTGACTCCATGGCAGTGGGTTTGGGTTTTTGGTTTTATTCTTCTTATGCCTCTGGGTTTTGCATTTCCTCTGGCCCCTCAGATTAGGTGCAGCAGCAAAGGAACTAGAGCACTCAAATATTACCTTAAAATGCTTTTTTGAAGACAAACATGATAAAAATAATTAAGCAAAAGTTATTTGGTAAATTAAGAGTTGGCTATTTAAGTGAATTGCCTTTCATTCAATTAGTTTTTGGCTCATTTATCTAGCTAGAGTCTCCACAGGTACATACTAGATACAATGAAAAGAAATTGACCTTTCACATGCAGTGTTGGGGCCCTCAAATACCCTTTCCAACCCCACTTAGCCAGATGACTACCCCCCATACACCATGCCCATTCCCCAAAACAGGAAATGGATTACTGGGTGGGGAGGGAAAAATGAACTGGAGAACCTCCACACTCAGGCACCAGATGTGGTGGAGAGTAAAACCCAGCAAGGAAAACTTATGTAAGTGCATGTTGTATTGGTATACTGATATACTGTGGACTTTCAGAAGAACTATCAATTCAGTCCTAGAAGAAATGCAACCTGAATGCTCCTTGGAAACAAGGATGGTGAGACTACAACTGCTCACTTACTTTGCACACATCATCAGGAAAGACCAGTCGCTAGAAACGGACATCACATTTGGCAAATTAGAGGGTCAGTGAAAACAGGGAAAATCTCTATGAGAGGAAATGACCCAATAGCTACAAAAATTGATTCAAACATACTCATGAAGATAGTGCAGAATCAGACAACTTTTTTTTCTGTTAAACATAAGGTTGCCGTGAGTTGGAGTCTACTTGAAGGCAACTAACAATAAAAATATATACAGAACAGTGAGAACCTCATCTCTGACTCTCATCCTCCTCCTAAAATTGAAATAGCCAGGCATAGATACACCCCAGGCAAGAAATTTATTTCTAGGGAAACTGCAAGATTCATTTCCAGAGAAACTGACCAGACCAAGAGAAAAGACCCAAGTATACTGACATTTAGGCAGCTGCCAAAGAAATGGCAGTTCACTAACCTACCTATTACCATCCGTCTGTCAGTTTCTCATGCTGTAGTGGCCTGTGTGTTGCTATGACACTGAAAGGCCACCAGTGGACAGGGAGGACAGATTTCAACGGAGCTTCCAGACAAGAATAGACTATCAACAAAAAGATATCCTTCTGAAAATTAGCCAATGAAAATATTAGGGATAGCAACAGAATATGTCCAACACAGTGCTGGAAGATAAGCCTCTCAGGTTGGAAGTCACTAAAAATACAACTCCTTAAAGTAGAGCTGACCTTAATGATAGTGACATAGATGAAGTAAAGCCAATGACCTTTATCTCCTGGCTTCACTCCCCTCCTTACTAAGCAAAGTTGTATGACAATTATGATCGTGCCCCTAAAAATACCAACTATCTGGAAATACAAATACCATTTGACCCAGCCATCCCATTACTAGGTATATACCCTAAAGAAGTGAGAGCCATAACAAGAACAGATATATGCACACCGATGTTCATCACAGCACTATTTACAATAGCCAAAACATGTAAACAACCTAGATGTCCAACAACTGAGGAATGGATAACCAAACTATGGTACATACACACAATGGAATACTATGCAAAGCTAAAGAATAACGTAGAATCTGCAAAACACCGCATAACGTGGATGAACTTGGAGGACATTATGCTGAGTGAAATAAGTCAGTCACAAAAGGACAAATATT